GTCTGCATCTCCACAAACTCCCCACCCCCTTTTCTCCCTTCAGTCTTAGGAATTGGGGATGGTCTAGATAAGAGTTCTCAAAGAGGTTACAAGCCTTTTGAGATAAGCAGGGAAGGTCTTGAGATTGGTGATGGGGAATGAGTGGAGTCTGAACTGCCTTCAGAGCTGCGTTTCCCATTTTGCAAAGATTTGTAAGATAAGGGCAGTTGCTCTCAATTCCTCAGAAATTGGGTTGTAACTTAAATGACGTCATAGGTTGATCTACCCATCCAATTACATTATCCCTAATTTGTTTCTTTCCCTCTGGGTACAGAGTTTTATTTTAATTTAGGGAAGAAGGCCTACAAAGATTCCTATCAGGTTCTGAATCTCAGCTTCTACTTGGCCAATGTTTCATCATAGAGCTACTAAAAAAATCCTTCTAAATATCTTGCCAGTTTTCAGCTGGGACAAACAGTAAATATCTCTGGCAGTATTAAACAACTCCATGGACCCAAGAGGCGTCCTCAAAGATTATTACCTTCTTGAGATCCAGAGTCTTTCCCAAAGATAGCCAAAAGAAAGAACTGACAGCTAAGCCAAGCCCTTAGGACAGAAAACGAGAAAAGCAAGAAGGTGATAGTTATCATTGGGAGAGAAAGGGTCAATAACCAGTGGGTCTGGATTTGGAAAGGAAGGGACAACATGAAATTTTGTTTTCCTCTCTTCACTGAGCATTACAGAATGGCCATTCAGTGGAGGTAAAATGGCTGTTGTCCAGGGGACGTACATTCCCTGGGAGGGGGTTCTAGGGTATAACCACGAAGGATACTGCAAAGGAAGGCCTTAAGCTGGCAGAGCCTGATTACAGGGCCCAGCAAAGCGAACTTTACTGCCTGTCCCAGGTGCTTCTGCTAAACTCATTTTCTGGCTTCAGCATTTACGTGAGTAACCTGTATACTCTTAGAGATTAGGCAGGAGTGCTCTCCGTAAATCTTGTAGGAAAAACGGAGGCTAAAACAGGCAGATGGGGCCGGATTTTAAGAAGAGATTTTTACACTGGATTTTTGTTTAAGTCTAAACTTTTGTTCTCTCATCTTGTTAAGGAGTCCCTAAGTCTAGTTGTTACATTTTTCCCCCCTTTTTCTTCTTGAGTGCAGACAATTGTACTTCCAATGTCCTGATTTTTTACAATATCTGCACATGTCTCAAGAGAAATAGGAAGGGGTCTGCGTGGAGTTTGATTTTTGTTCTGCTTTCTCTCCTTCCATCTTATTAAGGGAGGCTTAAGGCTAACCCTTATACCAATTTGAGAGCTCCCTAAAAATTTTTTTTCTCAGTTTTGAAGTTTTTCCAATTTAAAGGATCCACATCTGGCCATTGATGAGTAGGATCTTAATAGCAACTCAGACCCATAAGCCTTTTCATGGCTTAACCATGGATGCAATGGGCATCCCCAAAGGAGAGTGCAAGGGATGCAGCCCTCCCAAGATCCGAAAAGTTCACTCCAGAGTTAGCCTACGAACTATGAGGTGCCCCGTTTTTAAATAGCCATTCCAAACACAGGGAATCATGTTTCCCCCTCTTTTGAATAGAATAGGGTGACTTAAAAGTTTACCCCCGTTTTTTTTAGATTTCCTAAGCTTGCAGGCACCTACTCGGCTGCATGCCAGATGCCTATGTGTTCTCTGGCTGGCGGAGATAAAAGACCATCTCTGGGAGGAAAGGAGCAACAAAATCAAGAGTACTTATCTGAAATCTTAGAGTTGCTTTTGCCCATAAAACTAGTTTCACAAATATTTTCTCCAGCTGATCTAAATTTAAAAAAGGAAAACTCACCACTCTCTTTTCCACTGGACCCTGCAGGTAGAGATCTGGGAGACTGACATGGTAAGAACTCATACCTCCCGCCGGCTCTTGTCAGAGGTCCACGATCTCTCAGCTGCAGTAGTCGTGGAGTGAGCAACCAGTTAAGTTGTATCCCTTCCTTGTCATCAACTGGAGGGGAGGAAGAAATTTTCCTCTACCCTCTGCATTCTTCTGGCTGGTCTAAGAAATACGTTGACATGAGACAGGTTGACAGGAGAAAATCAAATAAAGTTTAATAGCATGTATACACAGGAGAGACCCAGGAAAACTGAGTAACTTGCCAAAATGGCCAAAGCCACCACCTTAAATACCATCTTCAACTAAAAACAAGAGAGGATGTTGGGGGTAGTGGTTTGGGACTTCAAAGGGGAAGAAGGCAATTCACGTGGAGATGGAAAAGTAAATGGTAAACAAATGTTTGTCATGCCTTGCAGAGACAGTGGGACATGGAGGGGTCTCTGATCTCTGGGTCCTGCCTGGTTTCCCCCACCACACTTAACCCACATTCTTCACAGACATGTCTGGTGATGGCTCTGTTCCTGTTACAGGCCGTTTGTCTGAATTCTTTTAGGCAGTTAAGGGGGAGGGAACAAGAAAAACTTTCTGAGTCTTGTTTCTTAAAAATAATCAGCCTAAAATAATCCTCATGTTATAGAGACACATTTTGGGGTGGCAAATTTTCTTCTCCTTCAGGTGCCCTTCAGAACTTTGGAAATGCAGAGGAAAAAGAAACGCTATCTTTTTTTCCTCGACCAGTCAAGACTGATTTTGTGTTAGCCCCTCTGGAAAGGAACAGGGTGAGGAGGGTTATGCATGTGACAGAAATGTGCCCAAAAGCATAGGCTTCATCCAGCCCAGCAGGTTTCAACCTACAGATTGTAACCTATTAGTGGGTGTGAAACATTTTAGTTTGGATCGTGACCAACATTTAAAAAAATAACAAAATAGAAAATGTCAGTGCTTTGCGTATGGTGAGCTTTGAGGATTGTTTTATGAGAATTTTATTTGTTATATTTGTGTGTATTCTAGGTTGCCGTCTGTAACATATTTTACTGCAAGTCTCTTAAAAAAATAAACAGCTGCCTCCTTAATGAGCAGAGTAAAAATAACTAGTCTTTTCAATCTCAGGGTTCAGGTAACTTGTTTGGCCAGGTGGGGAAATCCTATTAGCCTTGCTGTAAAAATCCAAGGTTATATTTTTATAACGAACATGCTGGTAGCAGAAAGCCATTGTGTGTGCCTGCGTTTCAGAGCCTTCGGAAGGACGCTGTCTGCACGTGACTGATAGAGGGTCTCCAGGGCCTCAGAAGCTCAGAGACCCTCCAGGTGGCTTTCCCTCCCTTCTTTTCTTGACTCACCTTGTCAGTTGAATCGCTGCTCCCCTTCGATTTGGGCCAAAATCAAATGCTTTTTTCCAGGGCTTTATTTTCATAAGGTTTCATGTCTTAGAATTTTCATGGATGAGCTAAAGCTGTCATAATAAGAAATGGGAAAAAAAAATAGACCCCTGCCGCCCAAAGCTGTCATTTTTGTTTGTTTGGCGAGACAAGAATGAGCCGTGGAGGTACTATGAGGAGTTGATGGTGAAGAGGAAATAAACTGGGGTGTGGGTTTTACCTTCAGAAAGTCCGTGTTGGCTGACGGGAGTGATGGCTTTCTTGGGGTTTGAATTGAATTCACATTCAAGGTTTTATTCTAAACATCAAAAGCCTTTGCCCTTGGGCTCCCTCAGCTCCGAGGAAAGTTTAATATCATCTACGTTGCATGTGAAATGGAAAGATTTATTTATTTCTAAAGCTTGGGGAAGTTATTTTTTTAAAGCAATAAAAGATTCCAAGGTCTTGACATGGATTACAAGGAAACTTTGGCCTCCTTGTTCTGGAACTACTCTGACTTAGTTTTTCTTTTTTGTTGTGTTAGGGCTTCAAGAAACCCTTCTTGAATTCTTCCTGATTATTATCCTGAATACGAAGCGTACAATCTGAATGTAAACAGAATATGCCCACTGTTTTCTTTGTATGGCAGAGGGTGAAAATTCCCTCTTACTTACCTTTGCTGTGCTCATTAGAGAAAAATGCTGGGGCTGGCCTGGTGGCACAGTGGTTAAGTTCATGTGCTCTGCTTTGGTGGCCCGGGGTTCACAGGTTCAGATCCTGGGCGCAGACCTACACACCACTCATCAAGCTGTGCTGTGGCAGGCATCCCACATACAACGTGGAGGAAAATGGGCACCGATGTCAGCTCAGTGACAATCTTCCTCAAGCAGAAAGAAGAAGATTGGCAACAGATGTTAGCCCAGGGCCAATATTCCTCACCAAAAAAAAAGAAAAGAAGAAGAAAAAAGAAAAAAAATGCCCCGTATGGTTTGTTTCAGAAGCAGTACAGCCCTGTACAGCCTGAAGGACGGGCTCTGGGGCTAGAGTGTCTGGGTTTTTATCTTTCTGCTGCCACTGGTACACCTACCACTTACAGTCACAGTCACAGCACTTAGAAGGATATTTGTCATCTGTCTACTGTGTGTCAGGCACTTGAGATTCCTATCTTTAATCTTAAAAATAATTCTTCGAGATTTCTTTTGTTCTTCCCATTTTACAGATGAGAAAACTGAGACTCAGAAAGGATCAGAGAAGATCTCAAATAGTCACTTGTATACCTTTTTATGTTGTTTCTTTTTTGTCTGACTTTTGTCTTTCCCACTTATTTTAAAGCCTACTTCTTTGTAGGCAGGAAGGAGAAATATGCATGTATTTACTTTAATCACTTTGTGTCAAAAAGCTATCACAAAGCCAGGTTTAATCCGTGCTTTCTCACGCTGGCCCTCTGCGTTCTGATTCTGAAGTTTGACTGGTTGGTGTGTTAATGTGTAATGCAGTGAAGAAAGATGAGATTTAGTATTTGTGTATTGACTCTCAGTGACACTTGTTTTCCGCAAACTTTTAATGTGAACATTTTCAAACACAGAGAATTTTCAAGAATAATACAGGAGCCGGCCCTGTGGCTGAGTGGTTAAGTTCACATGCTCCACTTTGGTGGCCCAGGGTTTCACTGATTCGGGTCCTGGGCATGGTGGACCTAGTGCTGCTCATGAGGCCATGCTGAGGCGGCGTCCCACACAGCAGAACTAGAAGGACCTACAGCTAGAATATACAACTATGTACTGGGGGGCTTTGGGGAGAAGGAAAAAAAAGAAGATTGGCAACAGATGTTAGCTCAGGTGCCAATATAATTTTAGTCATCTAAAAGTAAGTTGCATATGTTATGGCTCTTTATCCCTAAATAATTCCACATGCATACCCCCAAAATAAGGACATTATCATAACCTAATAATAATCTAATATCTTGTTTATATTCAAATGTCTCCAGTTGTCCTCAAAATATCTTTTATAATTGCTTTTTTGAACCAGGATGCAAGCAAGCTTATTGCATTGCATTGGTTCTCACTGTCTTTAGAACACACCCTCACCTTGGACATTGGCTTTTTGAAGAGACCAGACCAGTTTTCTGTAGAATGTCCCCCATTTTGGATTGTCCACTTGTTTCCTTTTTTCCTCTATGTTCTGTAAACCGGGAGCTAGGTCTATAAGCATATTTAGATTACAGTTAAGCATATTTAGCAAGAACGCCTCAAGGGTGATACCATGTGCTTCATATTCATCATATCAAAAGGCACCGAATGTCAAATTCTCCTACTATTACTGATGCTAAGTTTCATCTCTTGGTTAACCACCAGATTCCTCCATTGTAAAACTCTGTTGTCCTCTTCACACTTAATAAGCAATCTGGAGGCTGATGCTTTGACACTGTGGGGATATCCTGCTTCCCAGCAATCCTTCGACCTAATGATTTTGTCGTCTGTCTTATTCTGCTGGCACTGCTGTAACAAAGTACCACAGACCGGGTGGCTTAAGCAACATTTATTGTCTGACAGTTCTGGAGACTAGATGCCCCAAATCAAGGTGTTGGTGGGGTTGGTTCCTTCTGAGGGCTGTGAGGGAAGGATCTGTTCCAGGCCTCTCTCCTTGCCTTGTAGACGGCCATCTCTCTGCGTCACTTCACATCATCTTCCCTCTATGTGGGCCTGCATCTAAATTCCCTCTTCTTATAAGGACGCCAGTCACACTGGGCTAGGGCTCATCCTAATGACCTCTTTTTAACTTGATTCCATCTGTAAAGACCCTGTCTCCAAATAAGGTCACATTCTGGGGCACTAGGGGTTAGGACTTCAACAAAGGCATTTTGAGGGAGACAGTTCAATCCATAACAGCATCCATTGATGATTCTTGCCGGAATCCATTATTTATGAGGGTCTTAGGTTGGGTTCTCTGAAAAACAGATTCTGAGTTGCAGATTTCTAAGCTGGTTTATCGGGGACTGTGTGTGTAACCCTGTGAGAGAGTAAGAGGGGTTGAACTGCAATGGAGTTGCAATAGAGGCCTCAGTCTAGGCTGCAGGCAGCCCTGGACAGGATGGTCCTTCAGAGATGTCACAAACTGAGGCAGAGGGCCAGGCCTTTGTACCCCTTTATCAGCTAAGCATTGGATGCAGGCTGCCCCCAGGGAGGGCACAAAACCTTGGGCGGGGCAGTTTCCTTCCATGGAGGGCAATGCCTAGGGAGAGACTCAGCTGCGAGCTATTAGGCCCAACAGTGGCGCCCGTTGGAGGAATACGTGCCTGCGTCCTGAAGCGAGGGCTGGGGCAGGTGCCACAGTGTGCGGGACAACTGGGGCTGCAGAGGATGGTGTCCCTTAACTCTACACTTACTAGCTGGCACGCTTCTGAAAAGAAGAGCTTTCCCACGATAACTGGGAATGAATTATAGTTCTTTCTAAAAGACAGGGTAAATGCTGAAATCTTTCCCGTTTACTCACCAATTTTCTGAGTAAGGAGTTGACACCATTCAACTGTACTCAGGATCCCACTATGACTTGTGTGGCCCCTTCCACCATAAAAAACTAGAAATTATATTTTACAACTGTGTTGGTATAAAGACAGATATAACCCAGGCTGGATTCATTATTATATATTTATTATTGTATTAATTTGTTTTCCCTGTGAAGGAAAAGTATTGTGGGCTTTTGGTGCTGTGTCTTCTGTGCCTAACGGATGTTAGCCCGGTTATGCTCTGATTGGGGGCCAGGCAGGTAATAAATGAAGAGGGTTGATTCCCAGTGTGTATACGTGTATGGGGTGAGAGGGGGTGACTGTCTACAGGGCAGGGGCATTTAGCTCCAGTAGAAAGTTGCCATGCAGAAAAATGAGGTGACCTGGTGTTGCCAGATCCTTCCATTTGTCAGGAGAAGCCAGAAATAGGGATGTTTAAATTTGAAATCCTTTCTTTTTCATTGTTGGCTTAGTTTTTCCAAAATCTAGGCTGATTGCTGCCTGAGGGCTGCCAATTTAAGGAGTCTGCTAGTCGAGAGGCTCCCCTGGGAGGGATGTTGACCGTTTCCACACTCAGTCTTTTCCAGAAAACCTGGTGCATGGAAGGTACTCATGCCTGTTTGCTGAGGATCGAATGAATGAATAATTACATTTTGCTAAGGCAACGTATTAACATTAAGTTGGATTTTATGCATCAAAACCAGTGAAGATCAGAAAACTAGGCCCTGGATCGTGCTGCAAAGAAAAACAAATCTGCATTGGGTTATTCACAGCAACTTGGCAGGAGTAAAAATGTGTGAAGAAAACCCTTGAAACCAGAGTTCGGGAAGTAGGTCAGGCTGCCTCAGTGATGCAGTCACTCATCGGAGAATCAAAGGGGATTTCTTGGTATCTTGATAGAATGCTGTATTAAGTTTTTAACTTTTTTTTTCTGTTTAAGGCAGAAACATTATTGTGGTAAAAGCAATCTTGCAAAGACTGTGTTTTGTCGGTTTTTTCCTTGGGGGGCACCAAGTATACCTCTCTACCCAACTTCTTCCTCTCTGTCCTTGGCCTGTGGTTGTGGATGGGGGGAGTTTGGTCAGAACCCGCTGCGTTCCTGCCAAGCCCCAGGGAGGACCTTTCTCTGGTCAGAAGAGAGGGTGGCAAGAATGAGGAGATCCTCGAGGAGAAACGGGCACAGAGGGAAACCAGGGCTCCCAGGAGGCTTTCCCTCGACTTTTCACTTCAATTCCCAGCTCTCTTGGCTCAGACATAAAAGCAACAGTGGCCCGTGGACTTCTCTTGACAGAACTTTTCCCAAAAATGCCCCTCCAGGCCTCCAAGAGTCTAGGTCTCCCCGTCTTCATGCTTCAATGCTGACTCCTTCTTCAACGCCGGGTCCCGGCTTCAGCCACTGGCTGTCTCAACTCCACCACAGAAATTGCTGGTAAGAAAAGAGAGAGATGACCCATAACTACCCAGATAATCAGATGATAAGGGCAGAAATTATTCTTTGTTTTCTGCTTCCCCCAAATTGACCAGTTTGCATGCTGTTTTTAATCTTAGCCTTCCTTCAGAGGGACTAACATTTTTGATGTTACAGTTTCCCATTTATGGTCAGAGACGTTAATGAATAATGCTGGTAACTATAGCAATATAAACTATATGTACACACACATTCTCTCTCTCGTTCTCTCACACACTCTCTCTCTCTCTCACACACACACACACTTACTGCCTGAGAGAAAATCAAAACTGAATAATGAAAAAGGAAATTCAGTGTACTCCTAGTAGAGTAAATGATTCTCTTTGTATTCAGCTATCCCTAATTCAAATTTCAGTAGTTGTGTTTTCATTTTGATTGTTTGACAGAGAGAGATGGACGATGGGAGGTATCCTGAATCGTAAACTCTGAGTGTGTTTGCTCTTCCTAAATCCACCTCAGGGAACCTGGGAGGGCTGAGGATCGGGGTAGGAAAGAGTTACTGTTGAGACCTGGGCCTCCTTTCACAACAACTTGAAGGCCCTGCTTCCTGCTCGCCCAGCTCAGCCTGGCAAGTGTTACCCAGTGATAGGAATAATGGTGTTTTTCCGGCAATGTTTATAGAGATATTACTATTTGCTAAATACCTGATGTCCATTTTTGTTTGTCTCACAACAACTGTTTGCGATAGTCTTTTGTTGTGTTTGGTTTTTTGTTTGTTTCACAGATAAGAGAACTGGGACTGAGAGTAAGATGGTAACCGCCCCCCCTCAGCTAGGAAAGAGCAGACGGGCAAGTCTGCTACCTGTGCGCCCTCACTTCCCCGTGCAAGGCGCCTGCATTCTCCAAGAGCTGTTCCAGCGGGCTCTGAGGCCCACTCCTCCGAGCCAAGCTTTGTGCCATTTGATGGCGAGGAAGAGGCTTTGAAGAAGAAAGTAAGAAGGCAGAGAGGGAGCAGGAAGCGACAGGGAATAGTGGAAAGACTCCATCTAAACTAGTTTATGCTCTTGACCAGTTCTCTCTCAAGGACTTGCTTTGGTGTCATACTGAACAAATACTGATAGATAATAAAACAATAAAAGAACTTTGATTTCTGTTTATTTTTCACATTTTTAGTAAAATGTTAAGCGATTGGCAGCTCCAAATTTAGCTCTTCTGACACTCGTGTGGCCACTCCCACTAGATGCCAAGCATTTTCAAAAGGGGACCTGAAGCAGAACAGGGCTTGTCCTCAATGTTTTCTTAAGAACAGAAGAAAACGGCTCTTCCCTGCCCTTCCCCCAACCATTCAGTTTGGTCAGCTTGTTTGACATGCTTTCCTTCAGGAGAAAGGCTGTCAACACCAAGCTGTGATGAGTAAGCGCTCTTAGCATTCTGTTTCACAAATTCTTATTCCCGTAGAGGGGTCTTTCTTCTCTAGCAAGACCTCTTCCCACCTGGAGGCCCAAAGGCACTGCTGTGGTGCACAGGTGAGCTTCAGCGTGATTCTCAGGCAGCTCAGGTGTTGTGTTTTTTTGTTTTGTTTTGAGGAAGATTAGCCCTGAGCTAACTACTGCCAATCCTCCTCTTTTTGCTGAGGAAGACTGGCCCTGAGCTAACATCCGTGCCCATCTTCCTCTACTTTCTATGTGGGATGCCTACCACAGCATGGCCTGCCAAACGGTGCCATGTCCGCACCTGGGATCTGACCCGGCGAACCCTGGGCTGCAGAGAAGCGGAATGTGTGAACTTAACCGCTGTGCCACTGGGCCAGCCCCAAGGTGTTGTGTTTTTATATCATGGGATTGTTTTGTGATACTTGGAAGGCAATCTTTGTCTCATCTAAATTTTAAAATCTGCCTTAAAGAAACTTTTTCACTTTGTACCTGCAAAAAGAAAGAAAGCAGGAAAGGAAGGCAGGAAGAGTGAGCATCATGCTGTGGGTCGATGAGACAGGACTTCCATCCTGGGCTTCTGTCACTAAAAAACTTTTTGCCTACATCACAAACCAAGAGGAGAAACTAGATTTCCTTGGTCCTAAATGAGTCTCCACAGGGATTACCCACTGCCTTGCAACTCAAACTGTGGTCCCCGGGACATTGCTGTGATACTACCTGGCAGCTTGTTGGAAGTGCAGAATGTCAGGCCCCACCGAGACCTATTGGATTAGTATCTGCAGTTTAAGAAGATGCCCAGGTGATTTGTAGACACATTTGTTTGAGAAGCACTGTCCTCATCCATCACTCCCATACCACGCTTGTAACTGCTATCTGGGGGCCCCAGAGTTGCGAACCCCTGCCTTGTCATGTAAGGTTCTAGAGTACGTGGATAGCTTTTAAAGCTCCTCAAGTAATTCTGATGCAACCAGCCCAGCAGCAGAAGAAGCCCATTGGTCCAGCCTATGGAGGCCAGCCTCCTTGGGCACAGAGCAGCGTGCGTCTGCAGGGGCGCTTGGAGAATATCCAGCACAACTTCTCCAGTTTCAGCACCCTAGCATCCATCTTCCACACACGTTCACATCTGTCATTCTAAAGCTGATCATAGCAAATCTGTTAGTGGTACCCTATTGTCCTCAAGATCAAATATATCTTGGCAGAATACATATATCTCTTCCTGGTCAGGCCCCTGCCTGTTTTTCTCATTTCACTTTACCTCACAGCCCCTCCCAGGAGCCAGACCAAACCCCCCGCCACTGCCAGAACACACAGAGCCTTCACCCCTCCACGCCTTTGCTCACACCGTTCCCTCTGTCTGGAATGCTTGTCCCTCCCTCATGAGCTCATCCTTCAGGTGCTCCTGTAGTAACTGTGCCTGTCCTTCATTGTTCCCATAACCCACATGATTTGTTTAATGTGCATCTAGAGACTGCCCACAAGTAAAGGGACCACATCTGTCTTGTCTGGACCTGGATAAGAGCAGTTTTGATTGGGGATGGAGATGAGGGAAGGAGGACAGAAACCTGATTGAGTGGGCTTAGGAGAGAATGGGAAGTGAAGAACTGTAATCTACAATCAGCAGACAATCCATTCAGTTAGTTTTGCTGTAAAGTGCAGCAGGGAAATGGAATAGGAACTAGATGGGGAAGTGGGGTCAAGAGAGGTTTTTTAATTTCTTTTTTTAACATGAGAGAAATAATAGCATGGTTGTAGGCTGTGGGAATAATATGGAGGGAAGGTATTTGATGACACAGAGAGGAGGGGAAAATTGCACAGCATTTGAGTCGGATGGAGGTGCACGAGGAAGGGCCAGCTCTAAAAGGAGTGTGGACTGGCCATCTGTGGTAATGGAGAAATCACAGAGTCCCCAGGCTCAGATGCTGGAGGTGGTGGAGCCTGAGGATGTTCTGCTGGTCTCAATGAAAGAGGGGGGAAGGGAGATGTTGGGGGCAAGGTGATTGCAGCAGGTGTGAAATAGATGTCCAGGAGAGAGGCAGCGCATATGGACCAGGGAAATGTGATATGATTGCTGGGAGATGTTAAAGCCCAAATGTTGTTAGTGGTCATGAATTTCAAAGTGAGATTGATCAGCATGGTTGTGTATTTTTCTCTAGCTAAGTTAGTTGCACAGGTACCAGCGGAGAATACATGGAAAGACAGACATGATCCCTGTTCCTCCTGGAGATTATGTTTTAGAAAGGAAGATGGCATTAGACCAATAATTCCTTGTTTAACTACAGTGTGATGATTGCCATATCGGAAAACACAGAGGGCAAGGGAGCATCTGACAGAGCTGCCTGGCCTAGCCTGGGTACCTGAAGTGAGCCCTTCATATATGGAATGAGGTCTTGGAAAGACCCTAATTCTTGCCTTCTTTTGTTGTTCGAATTACAAATAGCGTGGTGCAATAGCAGAGTAGTAACACGTTATGCCATAATTTTGTGTTTCTTAATGATCTGCTATGACTTTCATTCTAATTGTCATATAAGCTGTCAATCAACCAGGAAAAGTGGCATTTGCCGAGGACTTTAGAGCCGTCTAAGTGGACCTAACCAAAGGCAGGAAGGACTGAGGAAAATAGGCAGTACATGTAAAATGCACAAAGCGTATCTTCTCTCTCTTATTCCATTCCCTTTATGTTGGATCGTCCCAGAAGATGTGGGCAGTTGTTTAAAGATTCATGCCGTGGGAAGAGAGAACATATCTTCCTGTAACCCATGTGCAGCACAATAGAGTGTGGTTTAGTGGAAGGAGGTGGGAATTGCCAAGAGGGGCTGTTGGTTATTGTAAGTATAGTGCTAGAAGGTTTTAGTAGTAAAGGGAAGCCACTGCTTCTCAGCCCGCGGTCTCCAAGACCCTGAGAAAATGTTCAGATTTCGAGTGAATTGTTGAAATAGTACCTAGGAGGAAATTGCCTCAGAATCTTGAACCTTGTAAACCCAAACCTGTAGAGGGAAGAGGTAAGGTCTGATTGAAATTCTTTTTTTTTTTTTTTTTTTGAGGAAGATTAGCCCTGAGCTAACTGCTGCCAATCCTCCTCTTTTTGCTGAGGAAGGCTGGCCCTGATCCATGCCCATCTTCCTCTACTTTCTATGTGGGATGCCTACTACAGCATGGCTTGCCAAGCGGTGCCATGTCCGCACCTGGGATCCAAACTGGCGAACCCCAGGCCGCCAAGTGGAACGTGCACACTGGGCCACTGGGCCGCCCCCTGAAATTCTTTGTAACACCGTTTCATGAGATAAGGGCCGTCTGATGCCAGCCCTGTCACTGGTAGCCCCCATGAGACCTCTCTCAAATCTGGACAGTCAGGTAACACTCTGGGACCCTGGACCAGCAGCATCAGCACCACCTGTGAGTGTGTTAGAAACAGAACTCATGGGTCCCGCCCCAGACCTACTGAATCCGATTTCTTGGAGTGGGGTCTAGGACCTGCATTTTGACAAGATCCTCTGGTGACATGTATGGCACATTAAAGTTTGAGAATCAATTACCTAAACTGCTATTGCTCTTTCATCCTAGTTCTTTTTTTAAGCTAGTTTGTTAAATACTATCAGAAATAAATTACTCCTCCAGCTCCCCCACGACTCGAGAGAGATGCCAAGAAGCAAGAACAGGGGCAGTCACACCGGGAGAATGAGCAGGGAAGGTTTCAAGAGCTTTCCTAAGAGGTCAGAGCAGGATTCTCTACCTTGGCACTGTGACATTTGGTGACGATAGCTCTTTGTTGTAGGGAGCACCTGGGCACTGCAGGACGCTCGGCAGTTTCCCTGGCCTCCACCCACTAGGTGCCAGGAGCACCCTTCAAGTTTTGGTTTGAGACAACTAATAACGTCTGAAGACTTTGCTAAATGTCCCTGGGAGGGGAGAGCAGGCAAAACCGCTCACCTCCTTGAGAACCACAGGCTTGGAATGATGGACAGTGTGCGTGTCTTCAGAGGGGGTTATCAGGAAGGGAATATTTACAGGAGCAGTGGAGTGGCCTTCATAACCGGGGCAATAATCTGTGCCAGCCCGCAGGGCTCACCAGGCGTGGCGTGCATTTTGCATGCATTACTTCTTTTAATCTTTACAACAAACACGTGTTTGTTATAAAGCAGGTACTGTTTTCCCCCACTTTATGCATGAAGAAAAGAAGGTTTAGAGATTGTCACACGGATGAGTGATAGACCGGGGATTCAATCCCAAGGCCATTTTAACTATTACGCTGTGTTGCCAATCCTGTACATGTATGTATATATGTATCTTCTGTATGTCTCTCTCCATCTATGGGTCTGTTGGCCTTTCCCTGTCTATGTTAGGAATCTGGGAAGGATTGGAGAGGACAAACATTTATTGGCCAGGGCCCCAAACAGACTTTCAAAACTCCTGAGGTGGTGGGACAAGCAGGTATCCCGGTGCGGTGTCTTCTCTCATTGCAGCGCCCCTCCCTCCCCCTGCTCCCCTCTCCCAGCCCCGCGGGAGACTTCACCCGCTGCTTCCCCCACCTCTCCCCTTCCCTTGGTCGAAGACAGGTCTCTGCGTGCCTCTGCGACCTCTCCCCGGGGGTCGCAGCGTGAGCCCGCTGCACACACCTGCCCCCGACCCCCCAGCCCGGTGCCAGGATATCAAAGGCTCCAGCTGGCCACGGCCTGGGGGGCAGCTGCACCATCAAAGGGAGCCGCTGGGAG